TCGCTCAACTCTGACAACTATGCAATCTGGCGAACCCAAATCTTTCAACACATCTCGGCTAACGGGTATGCAGATCATCTCACCGGCAAAACTCCGGCACCTCCGGACCCGACGTCCATAGATCACGCACGGTGGCGCCTCATCGACAACAATCTGATCTCCGCTCTCTTTTCGACCATCTCGCTGGCCATTCTTCCTTACGTCATCACTTCGACCACTGCGCAAGAAGTCTGGATGATTCTTGAACGTCGGTTGCAATCCTCCAGCCGGTCGCGGGTAATTCAGCTGAAGAATGAATTGCATCATATACAAATGAACAATCAAACAATGCAGCAATACCTTGCCCAAGTTAAGATCATTGTCGACAACATCGCAGCGTCTGGCACCAAGATTGACACAGAAGACATAGTTCTTTACATTCTCAACGGCCTCCCAGCTACATACAATTCTTTCAAAACTTACATTCGGGCCTCGTCCCTACTGGTAGATTTGGATGCTCTCTATTCTCTTCTTTGTAGTGAGGAGATCCACGTGAATCAAGAAATCAAGACCGATCCCCTCACAACCACAGCGGCTTACTACGCCAACTCACAAAATCAACAGCGATCCAAGAATTCAAGGCGACCGACCAAGTACAGAACAAACCGAACTCACAACACTACTAGCACCGTTCCGACAAATAACCAGCAGCCTGTATCGACCAATCGTCCAACCTGTCAAATATGCAACAAGCAAGGTCACACCGCGAACAACTGCTGGCATCGCTGCAACCTATCCTATGCCCCGCCGACGTCTTCAGCTCCGCGGGCTCTTCTTGCTCAACCAAACACCACTACTACCAAATCTTGGGTTCTTGACTCAGGCGCTACGTCTCACATGACGTCCGACTGCTCCAACATACAATTTCCCTCTGGTTACAATGGACCAGAAGCTGTTTCGGTCGCCAATGGATCCATGATACCCATTCAAAATTACGGTCAAGGCATTCTACCCTTACCGGATTCATCTCGTAAGCTTCACCTTTGCAATCTCTTACACGTTCCTGCACTCACGCACAATTTACTTTCCGTTTCTAAACTTACTTCAGATAATTCTGTTTCGATCACCTTTGATTCTCATGGCTTTGAAATTAAGGATCTACAGGATCAACAGCCTCTCCTACGTGGACGTCTAACTGATGGCATCTACAAGCTTCAAATTGCGCCCTCCGCTCAGCACACTGCGCTTCAAGCTTCCTCTACCACAGCCGCTACCTGGCATGCCCGTCTTGGGCACCCCAATAATAAAATTTTCAATACTTTAGTTTCCTGTGTTACCGGCTGTAAACAAATTTCTTCTGATTTCCTGTGTGAACCTTGTAAAATGGCTAAAAGCCATAAACATTTCTTCACTAAACGCATTACTAATACCTCTCATCCATTCGAACTTGTCCACTCGGACGTATGGGGTCCGTCCCCCCAGTCTTCATTAAATGGATTTCGGTATTATGTAGTGTTCATCGACGATTTCACGCGTTTTTCTTGGATTTATTTTATGCATCACAAAAGCGAAACCATCGCCAAATTTAAACTATTTTGCAGCTTTATTTACAATCAATTTTCTGCAATTCCAAAACAATTTAGATCGGATGGCGGCGGTGAGTTTGTAAGCCGAGAATTCACCGAATTCTTAAACAGCAAAGGCATTGCGCAGCAACTCAGCTGTCCTCATACACCAGAACAGAACGGCTTGTCCGAGCGAAAACATCGACATCTACTCGAGCTCACTCGGACATTGCTCCTCCACTCGAATCTTCCCGATCACTTCTGGGCTGACGCAGTGTCCACCGCCAACTACTTAATCAACCGCCTACCGACTTCTGTGCTTTCCCACAAATCACCTCATCAAATGCTCTTCAACGCCATTCCGGAATACCAACATCTGCGCACCTTTGGATCATTGTGCTACCCGTGGCTGCGTCCTTACTCGAACAGCAAACTTGAACCACGATCGCAGCCATGTCTCTTCATTGGTTATTCACCACATCACAAAGGATATAAGTGTTATAATTTGAATTCCCACAAAATTCATCTCCCGCCATGTGGATTTTCATGAATCTGTCTTCCCGCTACGCTCACAACCTCAACATGTCACCAACACCGAGCAGCTCCCAATCAGTCATCCATCACCTCTTTTACTTGTTCCCGCCTCGACAACAACTCAATTACAAACAACTGCCTCTGGCAATCAACCCACTACAGCTCCACTCCCTCGGCCTACTGCGATCACCACTTCTCCCAGACCCGAACAAACCTCTTCTACCAGCTCAGATTGCCATCCCACGGCTGACACTCACACGCACCACATGCAGACCAGATCAAAATCTGGTATTTTTAAACCATGACAAATTATCTCTCTTATAAGCCAAGCCGATCACAGCATCACACCGTCGACCTACAATCAAGCCTCTAAACTTTCTCACTGGCGAGATGCAATGGCAATTGAATATCAAGCTCTCCTAAAACAGAACACTTGGACACTTGTTCCCAAACCGCCGAACAAAAGAGTTCTTGGATGCAAATGGACTTACAAGACAAAACGACTGCCGAACGGTCAAATTGACCGCTACAAAGCACGACTGGTAGCATTGGGCTATGAACAAATCCTAGGTGAAAACTATACAGAGACATTCAGCCCTGTTGCCAAGATGACAACTATCCGCATGCTTCTATCTCTGGCAGTTAATAAGCAATGGCCCGTTCTTCAGCTCGATGTATCTAACGCATTTCTTCACGGTGATCTGCAAGACGATATCTACATGTCACAACCTCGCGGCTTTGAGGATCGCGAACTACCCGATGCCGTCTGTAAACTTCACAAATCCCTTTACGGGCTCAAGCAAGCGCCTCGCCAGTGGTATCAGAAAATCACGGCGTTTCTCCAAACTCAAGGCTTCGGGTTTAGTCGCTCTGATCCCTCTCTCCTTATCTTTAATCACAATCACATCTCTATCTTCATCCTAATTTATATGGATGACATTTTAATTACAGGAAACAACAGTTCGTCTATCAACAACTTATTGGCAACTCTCCGATCACAATTTGCTCTCAAGCAGCTCGGCCAAATAAATCTATTCCTGGGCATTCAGGTTTCACGGACCGAATCCGACTTCTTCCTACATCAACAACATTATGCAGAGAAGCTGTTACAGGAAGCTGGCTTCATCAACAGCAAACCGTGTCCAACTCCCATCACTCCGACATCCAGACATCAACCTTCAGAGTCCACTCCATTCTCTGATCCGACCCTCTATCACCGACTAGCCGGATCGCTTCAATATCTGACCATCACCCGGCCAGATATTGCCTACGCCACGAACCAAGCTTGCCAGCATATGCAGAATCCGACTACGACTAATTTTAACCAGCTCAAGCGTATTCTTCGGTACATCAATGGCACCAAATCCTTCGGCCTACCCATCGCTCCTGGTGACACAACTCTTCAGACGTTCACGGATGCCGACTGGGCATCCGACCTCTCGGATCGGAAGTCGATCTCCGGCACCTGTACATTCCTCGGTCCAAATCTTATTTCCTGGTCCGTCAAGAAACAGCTGACCGTTGCCAAGTCCTCCACCGAGGCCGAGTATCGAGCTCTCTCCGCCTCCGTTTCTGAGATTCTCTGGCTTCGTCGGCTAGCATCCGAGCTACAGCTACACCAGTCCTCACCTACTCTTATTCACTGCGATAATCTTTCCGCCATAGCAATAGCCAAAAATCCGGTGTTTCATGCCCGGACCAAACATATAGAGATTGATTATCAGTTCATCAGACAACACCTCGCTGCAGGAAACATTCTCATTCAGCACATAGCCTCTCACGATCAAGCAGAGGACATTCTCACAAAGCCTTTCTCCAGCTCTTGCTTTGACTTCCTTCGTCACAAATTAACCGTTCAACCACATAACGCCTAATTTGAGGGAGGATATTAGAGAAAGGATTATGATTAGCTTACATTATACCTTAGATCACTGTACATTATTAGTTATTATAAATACATTGTAATACTGTTTTAATTTTGAATAAGAATTTTCCCTCTTTCCATTCTCTTCTCTGTTTCCTTCGGCTATCCGTCATCTTCTCCGTCTCAGACGAACTCCGTCCTGAATTCCTTCAATAATAATACATAGTATGCAACTACCTATAATAATTAGATAGCACTTGCCTCTCACTCATATGTCCTATTAATGTGATGACATCACTAAATATGCCTTATATGACATCGTTGATAGAAGATTTTATGGTGTTTAAGCTTTTAACAACATCTCACCATGCTGATAATAATCAAATATTTGATATCTCATACTATCTTAGAACATCACTGATAATTTCATCTCATGTTTCTACTATATTTACAATTGATTCCCTTATACCTAACTTTATTGATTTCCTCCCCCCAATTAGTTAGTGGCAAGCCAATTTTCACCTAATTTCTACAAAACTAGTGGAACATCAACACAGTGGTGGTAGACCAAATATTTTATTCCATATTATCGATTTTAACATAAAGATTCTATACACAACATTTAGGAAACAAACACGTACCATAAAATCATGCAAAATGCATTTACATTTCCCTTATATAGTTTCTTCAAATCTAACTTTCCCATGGGAGCATAAGAAAATGAGTAAAGTTGCTCATAGCCTGTTGATGGCTGATCATAGGGGTGTCAAAAATTGATATGATTCGAACCCGGCCTAAAAAACCTGAGTTCGGGTATCACTTACTGCCTTGACATCCACAAAACTATAATATTTCATGTTAGTTTTTAAGCATGTCATCAATCATCACCAACTCATAAAGATTGAAGGAAGCTTTCACCATTATTTTTCAGTCTAATTACCACTATTCTTTTGCATAGCAGCTCATACAAAAGCTGCTTCTCTCATACAATTTTTATGCTAAAAAGTTGATTTAAGAAGTAGAAAAAAAGCAGTCCCAAACGAAGTGTAAATTACAGCTTCTACCCAAATTTCTCAGAAATATCCCATTCTGATACTTCAACCATTAAAAGAAATAATAAAAATGAAAACAAGCAGAAGTATGCAGCAGAAAAGAAAAAAGTCTTTAGAATTGCCCTGTTGCATCATCCCAATACTTAAAATCCGCGGTCGCTGACCATTCATGATGGAGCAGCTGCGGCGAGATTGCCGACGCCGGCGACCACTTCAACTGCTCCAAAGGCGGTGCCTTTGGCTTTCCGGTAAGTTCTTGGACGAGGCTGCGGAAACCCTTAGGATCAATATGGTAGATTCTTGGGGGCCGTGGCGCTTCCTGCTTCTTCCATGGTTTTGACGGCGGCCTCTTGACGGCGTGGAGCTGCGCCTCGAAAGCCCGTTGGGAAGGTTCGTCGCCGGCCGCTGGAGCTCCGGCTGGCTGTTGATGGAGATAGAGGCCTTGAGTTTGCATTTTGTTTTGGGGAGGAAAGCAGAGAGGAGATTGCAGTAGTTGATGAGGAATTGGAGTGGTTTTTTAAAGGACTTTTAGAGGCTGGCCGGTGAGGGAGCCGCCGCGTCGGCGAGTGAGTGCCACGTGGGGCGGCTAGTCAACGACAGGTTGTCCGTCAACGCCGCACGTGTTCTTTGACAGATACTGGCCGCGAGTGGACTAGAGAAAGAATCAATGGTTGGATAGTGGGTCGAATCTAACGACATAATAAATATTAAAATTATTTAAATATAATAAGATAATGATATAATAGTTATGAGTAATATAAATTTATGATTATAAATAAATAAAATTCATCGACAAGTTGATTAGTGGATTCATTTAGGTTGTTTCTAGCACTCAACCTATTGAATTCTTCGGTGTATTCACTCACCGATTTGGTTCCTTGAATGCAGTGTTGGTAACGCATATATAGGATCTGCTCGTAGTCGGTGGGAAGAAATTGTGTTCGCAGCAATTGCTTCATTCGAACCCAATTACGAACGGGTCCTTTCCCTTTTCTTTGCCTCAACTGCAATGTTTGCGCCCACCACGCACTGGCTCCTCCCCTCAACCTACAAGCCACATACTTCACTTGTTTGTTGGGATCAATCTCCATGTAATCAAAGAAGTTTTCGACGGTTTTTTCCCAATCAAGGTAGTCCTCGATGTGTAAATGACCGTAAAAAAATGGGATATCTAATTTTACTTTGAATTCATTATGATGATACGGCATTGTCCTCCGGCGAGCTTCAAAATAATAAGGATTACCAGTATTGTCGTCGCCTGAGTCTACGGGTGCGATGCCTCTGTGCCACTGGTTTTCATCCTCTGAATCTGATACTTCCTGCAGGATCGCACGATTCTGCGGCCAGTGACATTCCGGAGCTACTTCCCTTCTTCGCATTGGCCTGGTGACCGCCGGCAGCTCCTCTTGATGAATCCCCGATTGAACGGATCTCGCCTTAATGAGATTAAACTCGCGGCGAACTTCTATCGTCAGTCGCTGTACCTCGGCAGCGAGCTCGTCGATTCGACGATTGACGTGGTCCTGGTTTGCCCATAGTGAATCGAGACTCCGCGATTCTTCGGATGCATTTGCCTTGCCGCGATCTCCCATCTCCTCTCTAGCCCACTGTGGCTCTGATACCAAACTCTGATGCCGCCAAGATCTGCGTGAAGCTTAGAGGAAGGAAAAACGCAAGCAATGGAACAGTAGAAACATAGCACGCTGCTCTTCAGGGTTTTCTATTGAGAAGATGATAAAAATTGTTTACAACTATCACATAATTTCCTATATGTAAGACTTTCTAGAAAGTGTAAAGCTGCCATAAAAGAGCTAACATGCATAAAGTAAATAAGTAAAGTAATTAACTAAAATAGTACTATGGATAGTGGGTACGTATCTGGTAGTTAGCCCAGGTAATAAGGCTCACGGTATAAGAGTTGTGGCTGCATCATAGATGCCACCTGGGTCAATTTTAGATTGATTTTGGGTTTTTTGGTTAACATGAACGATACCCGATTTTAGAAACGAGTTAGTATCTTGATTCTAAACTTGACCTGTTTGGCAAATAGGTGACCAAAACCTAATTTTTTTTGGATCAGGTCAAATATTAAAACCCTAATGTAAATGAGATAGTAGTTGAACCAATCGGGGCCGGTTTAGATTCGAACTTGTTTTCTTTGTTGAATATGAAAATTGTTCTAGAAAAAGTTCATACCAACTAGCCAATCGGTTTTTGGTTGAACCGATCAAATCGGCCGGTCTGACCTTGCTTTTAAAATTTTTTGTGCATGAAGGGGCAATGCTTTGAAATGATTACATAATGCGATCATGTTCTTTCAATCAACTACTTATGGTTGGCAAAATTTAAAAATAAAATTTTTTTTGATAATTTATTAAGGGAAAAGGAAGAGAAAGTGGTTGAGGAGAAAATTTTTAATTTTGAAAAGATATCAAATCGCTACCTATTTGGCTACTTGATCCGCCACATGATGATTTCGCAATTTTTTTTTTTTAATTTCAGTTAT